CCAGGTACCGGGGCTGGGAAGCGGGGAGTCACAAACAGGGCATTGGGCTTCCCTGGTGGCGCAGTGGTTAAGAATCCGCCTGCCAATGCAAGGGACACGGGTTCGAGCCCTGGTCTGGGAAGATCCCACATGCCGCGGAGCAACTAAGCCTGTGTGCCACAACTACTAAGCCTGCGCTCTAGAGTCCGTGAGCCACAACTACTGAGCTCACACGCCTAGAGCCCGTGCTCTGCAACAGGAGAAGCCACCGCAATGAGAAGCCCGCGCACCGCAACAGAGTAGCCCCCGCTCACCGCAACTAGAGAAAGCCCACGCACAGCAACGAAGACCCAACACAGCCAAAAATAAATAAATAAAATAAATAAATTTATTAAAACAAAAAACAGGGCATTGGTGGCAGAGGGTCTCCAGGTTCATCTCTCAGGGCTCTCTCCTCACACTCCTGCGTGGAGGTGGAGGGAGTGTTGCTAGCTTGTGGAAAGGAGTCTTTTCTACTCTCTTTGACCCCCTCCACCCCATCCTGCCAGGAGAAGTGAGGGTGTTGCTGGTGCCCAGGTAGCATTTGCTTGCGGAAGTAACACGAGGTCCAGACGGTGTGCATGCAACATGGATGCTTCCTATTGTAGCAGGCACAGACTCGGGCTCTCTTAAGCAAAAGGGAATTTATTGGCGGGCTGCCGGGGCTGAGGCTGCAGGGACAGGCTTGGAGAGCAGACAGGAACAAAGGCAGCTCAGAGGGCAGAGAACTGTAAAGCCCAACAGCCATCTCGAGGCAGAACAATTTGGCCCGAGGGTCACTCCCTGCACCTTGGACAGCCCCACCGCTGCGTGGGTTCTAGAGGAACCTCATCTTTGCACCACTCATTCAAGCCAGGTCTGATTGGCCAAGGCTGGGACGTGGCAGCACGTCCCAGGTTCCAGCAGTGGGAGAGGGAGCTCTGAGAATCCTGCCATGGCAGATGGGCTCCTGCATTCCCAGGACTCTATTCCAAGGGCACTGGGAATGTCCCACATGAAAGGCTGCATCGTGCGTTCCAAATCACTTGGATATTGGGGGCTGCGTCATCTCATGGATGACATAGCCCCTGCAATCCCCCCAAAACTCAATCCTGAAGACTTGCCGAAGTTAAGGGTTCCGAAAGTCTTCAGGAGAGTGCTGTTGTCGCTGTTTAGAGTCATCTGGCACTGGCATCCTCCGTGCACGAGGGTCCTGGTGTGTCCCCGGCAGGAAAGTTCTGGGAAGGGGCTGGATTAACCGCACAACTACGTGGAGAGGCTGTCAGTCCTTTCACAGTGCTTTTTAGTCCAGGCTGCCGCAGGCTGTATGGTTTTAAATGTTCCAACGTTACAATAGTTCATACTTGGGAATTAAGCACAACTATGGTTTTCAGAGTTCAAATTATATTTCAAGCTATAGAGAGTAAAATTTAACAACTTGGCCCAAGATTCAGTAGATTTCTGCTCCCCTCCCCACCATGAGTTATTAGAAATTCCTAGGGTGGGGAAATGAGGTTTTTTTCTGTGCATCAAAAGGGAGCATGGTCTAAAAAAGTTAGAGGAAACACTGGTGGAGCTGATGAGCCCCACTTTCACTATTGATTTCCTATCAGACCCGTCCCCGCTCTGCAGAAAAGGGGGTAATAAACCCTCCTCTGTCTACCTCAGAGTAAGAGGTTAGAAAATGCTTTGTGATGGGGGCACGGCTTGTACCCAGACGGCTTCGGAGAGAATTACAGGGGAAGAGGCCGGACCCCAGAATCATTCAGTTCAGGGCTCCTTAACCAGGCATCCGGGCCAGCCTGGATCTGGGGATTGCCAGCCCCCTGACATGGCACTGCAGGTGTGTGTACGTACATGCACATATGTGTATGTGTGCTCGCATGTATATGTATGTACATGTGTTTGTGTGTGTACATGTGTGTGTGTGTTTTCTGAGGAAAGGGCCCATAGCTTTTTCCAGATTTTTAAAGGGATTTTTCCTGAAACAGCAAGAACTCCTATTTCGTCCATCCCTTTGTGCGGATGGGATACAGGCCCCCTGAGTTAGTGTGGGGAGTCTGGGGCATGTTCGTGTCTAACCTGTGAATGATTATGTGAGTTAATTAAAAGCATTGGCAGAGCTAAGCCCGCATCCCTGTGTCCTCCCACGGCAAGGTGGCCTTCTGCCACGCCTGCCACAGGTCACAGGGCTGCAGCAGTGCCCGACGCCTGGGTCTCAGGCCCCAGCGTGCCCTCCCCAGGCAAGGACGACAGGATCAACACTGACAGGAAGGCTGACACCCTGAGGCCCGGCCTAGATTGTCCTCGCAAAGACCCCACGGCTCAGCGGGCCCTGCATCTGTTCCAAACATGCCTGGGATTTCTTTTTGACACTAAAGTAAATGTTGGCTGGAGAGCCACCTACGCGGCTGACGGAGGCTGCCGGCTTCTCATTGGAGGGCCGGGAGGAAATTCTGCAGGTCTCTGAGGCTTGCCAAGACGACTCCGTCACACGGAGCAGATACAAAATCCATTACCAAGAGCTAATAAACGCGAGGAGACCAGGCTGAGGACAAGCCGAGGGTGCAGCGGGCCCGGGCGGGTGGGGCTCCGCGGGCTCCCCCTCTGCTGCGCAGCCTTCAATATTTGCCCCTCTTGCGGCACCTCCTTCGGATCCCCATTGTTCTCAGTTCAACAGTTTGGGCAGCGATTCTGTTTCTCATTCACTGTAAAAGCCCGTCCCTCCAGACCTCTCGGCACATTTGTTGTGAGGCTGGAATTTATGACGGATTGGATTTCAGAGGAGGGATTGATTAAGTACAGATGGAGCACTTGGCAGGGGCCTGGGGCTCCCAGTAGACTCCCCCCATCTGGAAACAGAATAAAGATTAGGAAGCTTGAGCAAGGGGCAATCTGGGGCAAATCCTGCTTTCAAGGGCAGCGAGGGTGGACGCTCTCCCAGGGAAACTGCTTGTTTCTGTTCAAGGGCATCTTCTCGAAGCCGGACAAAAATTCTTTGTCGGTAGGAGTCGTGAGCTGCCAAGGCCACTCCTCACTGCCTCAGATGCACTCAGTCTCGGGCACACAGGCTCCCAGTGCAGGCATCTCAGCTCTGGCTAAACCCCTCTAGCACCTTAGCCTAATCGCATTATATTCGCATATGCCCTTCCCTTTCGAAAGCGCAATCCTTGCCCTGCTGTTCCCTCTGCCTGGAGGGTCCTTCCCCTACTTCTAAAATTACTAGAGTTTCAATTTTCTTTCAAGGTCTCATTCAAATGCCACGCCCTCCATGAAGACCACCAGGATTGCAACCTTCGCTCAATAAAAATGAGTCACTCCTCTGAACGCACAACCATGCTCTGTTGCTTCTCTCTGTTTCACCTTAATTTTCATTCGCTTAACGAGGGTCTGTGCCTTACTTATCTCTGGATTTCCATAGATGTAGTAAACTTTGCATGACTGTTAATGAAAATTAAAATGTGTCTTGTGACCTAGTCTTAAGAAGACATGCTACTTTTTGTAGTGCGCACTGGCAGACTCTCCAGCTTCAGGTAACGCGGCCTCTGTTTTCCTCTGGGAAGCTGCCGCTTCTCCATGTTCAGTCCATGTGGTTGGGATGCTGCTGATCCATCCTCTTTTCCAGATGCACATGTGACTAAGATCTGACCAATCAGAGCACAGGCATTAGGTCGGGGATGGGTCTGTTCCGTGGGTTGGGCCCGTCAGACCAATGAGCAGTGACCCTGAAGCCTTCGTGGCACTCCTGGGAGAGAAAGGCTTCTCTCTGCTGAGGTTGCCAAGGGGAAAAATGTCCAGCTGGGGCCGCTGGGGCCCCGCATGACACTATGTGGGGAGGGGCTGCCTGAGAATGATGCCTTGAGGAGGCAAAGGAGGAAATTAGACCGGAGGGCGGGGACACTGGCTTTGCCACTGAGGCTGGCCTGCACAGGGCAGAGGTCTTTTGGGAACAGTGCTTGGCAGGTAGAGCAAAAGCCCAGGTACCGCCCAGGCGAGGGTTGTACCAGCATGTCCAATTCGGCACATGCTCCGGGCACAGGAGGCGAGGCCGCAGCTGTGGCTTCGGCTGCCTTCTGAGCGGACGCTCAGCCTCCGGTCGGCTGGAGGTTCTGGGGGAGGAGCCTGAGCGGCAGGCAGGATGCCAGGGCCCAGGGGGGTCCACGGCGGTACACTGGGAAGAGCCCAAATTTGTAAGCAGACCCAGAACCACTGTCTCGTTGGGAAAATCTCTTTCTCACTTGGCTCCAGTTTTATCTGAAAACAGGTTAATAATCTGTATTTCAGTTTAGTGTGAGACTCAGATGAGATCGTGTACATAAAGCACCTCCCTGGTCAGCACTCAAGCCGTGGACAATTATCATTACTCTGCGGGCTGAGTTCTGGGGAGGGGTCAGCCCCAGCAGGAGCGCAGGGGATGAGGGAGGCAGACGATGAAAACTGAGGCAGCAGCTCAGCTCTGGGCAGTGGGGACGCTGTGTCAGGAAGGTGGGAAATGCATCTTAGTCATCTTTGTAGGCCCCAAACTAAGCCTAGTGTCTGGCAGAGTGCAGGACCAGAGTGCAGGACCACTCACAGTTACATCTACTAAGACTTTCTAGACCACCTAAGAATCATCTGCTTGAGAGAAAGAGCAAATGGTGTTACAGAATGGAAAGGTTACTAGGGCTGAAGTCAAAAGATGCAGATTGAGTTTTGGTTCTGTCACTGTGTGTCCACATGACCTCTTCATTTCGGTAGACCTTATTTTTTTCATCTGCAAAACAAGGCTAGTGGACTTCCCTGGTGGCGCAGTGGTTAAGAATCCACCTGCCAATGCAGGGGACACGGGTTCGCGCCCTGGTCCAGGAAGATCCCACATGCCGCGGAGCAGCTAAGCCCGTGCGCCACAACTACTGAGCCTGCAAGCCGCAACTACTAAGCCCGCGCGCCTAGAGCCCGTGCTCCACAACAAGAGAAGCCACCGCAATGAGAAACCTGTGCACCACAACAAAGAGTAGCCCCTGCTCGCCGCAACTAGAGAAAGCCCGCATGCAGCAAAGAAGACCCAACGCAGCCAAAAAACAAAACAACAACAACAAAAAAAACCAAGGCTAGTAATACTTCATCTGCCTGCCCCTTAAGGATGTGGTCCAGTTCAGAAGGTTCTGGTGGCACTGGGAGCCCTAGAGCAAAGCGTACAGGACCACTGTCCACGGTGCAGTTAGTCCCGTGGCCAAAAGGGACATCTCTCTGAGGTGGCCCAGCGGGATAAGCTGGAGGGGGAACCAGCTGTGTGGCTCAGGGCAGCCAAAGGAATGGCTAACTGTTGCCAAGTGTTTGGCTTCGAGGGCAAGGCAAGAAGAGACACAGGGCTGTAGGCAGGAAGAACACAACAAGAGCAAAGAGGCAAGGAGAGCACTTCAGAAAGAAGGCTGTGAGAACAGCCACAAGCGTCCCCCTCCTAAGTCCTCAGTGACAAACCTAAGAGTGAACACTTGCTGAGCACTTACTATCCGCCAGGTGCTCTTCTCAATGTTTGCAAGGATTACTTCCCTTAATCCATACAGTAACCCTGGGTGGATACTACTGTTATCCCCATTTCACAGATTAGGAAACTGAGGCATGGAGGTCCCAGGAGATTTTAACTCGTGGCTCACATTCTTAAGCAGTCCGTGTTACTGCTGGTACACAATGCAGGGTGGCTACAGTGACTGAAAGACAGAAGGGAATGTATTGAAAGGCATTTTGTGAATTGTAAAGTGCTGAGTAGATGTGGGATGGGGTTAAACCCCAAATATTCACTTAACCTCTCTCGGCCTCTCAGTAACTCTCCAAGAACAGTGTGTTGGACAATCATGGCTAAGGAGAACCATGTTTCCTCCTGGGCCTGGCCCTGGAGCTCGGTCTGTAGGGGCCATAAAGACAAGTGGCTGCACAGGTGCTGGTGGCCAGCCTCATCTCCCCAGCTCTCTGGACTCCCAGCCTCCCATGCCATCTCGAGGAATCGTCTGCTGGGGGCCTCCCAGGTAATTCAGCCCAGGCTTAGGGAACCCTGGAGCTGTGGGGCAGATGGCAGAGCCCAAGTGTCCAGGATCTGATCACAGTGTGTCAAGAGCCGGACGCTGCTGGAATTCTCGCATTCCCAAATGGGATGCCGGGTGTGGATAGAGACAGAGCAAGCTTCTAGACACAGGCATGGCGCCCACAGTGGGAGGCCTTAGGCTGACCTCACCCCCACCCAAGGGAAGACAGAGGAACAGTGTGTGGATGGAAGATTCCAGGGAGACAACCAGAGCAGAAGGTAAATGCTTCTGGTCCAGGGAGGGGGCAGTGAGGGAGGCTGGGGAGGGGAGGGCGAGGAACGGCACAAGGTGCGAAGACACACCCAGAGCGGGTGCCGAGGGGCCCGGGGGAGGGTTGCAATGGAAGCAAAGGGAGACAGGGCCTGGGGAGGCAAAGGCTGTGACAGAGGGGCTCTGGGATAGGGTGACTTCTCTTGGATCCAGAGCAGAATGGGAGGGGAGCAGCCCCTCAGTCAGCCCCCGGGAGAGCTGGAGCTCAGAGAAGGGTAGGAGGCGCAGGCGTCTTACTCATTTCGTGGCGTCGGGACATGGAGTAGCCCAACCTCCGGACACCCGCTGGGGCATGCGGGTGGGGGGTCTGATTCAGTGGCGGGAAGGATGGACTCAGCCACAAGAAAAGTCCCGCTGGGTGGATGGAAAGTCAGCCAGAAAAAAAGGTGAGAGGCAGCAGGTTTGGTTCAAGAAAAATCGATCAGGGTTACCAGGCAGATGGAGCACAGAAACAGCTAAGGGGACTCTAGGAAGAGCAGCAGATAACGGGGGTTCATCAGAGAGGGTGGGGGCCACTTCGGGGCTCCCTGCTCCAGGCTGAGGGTCAGAGGCCACACTTGAGGCTCTGGGAAGACTGGGGAGAGCAGAGCAGGCCCAGTGTCACAGGAACAGGTTGATCAGAGTATGATCATACTGGGCAGGCTGGCAAGAGGGACCTAGAACCGGAGCCGCAAAGCAAAGAGGAGGCCTGGCCACACAGCCAGCCCAGAGTCATTATCAGAGCTGCGAGCCTGGTCCCTGTGTGGGACCCGCACTGACGGAGGAGTCGACTGAGATCACTTGGGCCTGACAGCCAGCCCGGGGCCCGACATGGGATTCCCTGGGGCCCTGACCGAGGGAAGCCCTCAGGACGTCTGGTGGAAGCCCTTCCAGGCCAGCCCGCATTAGGTTCAACGAACTAATAAACAGATGAGAGGTCTCTGCTCTTGAGCCAGCAGAGGCAAATGGGAGAGGCCACTATTTAGGAAGATAGTGGTCACACCTCCGCCTTCCTGCTGCTTCTCATGAGCCCCCAGAACCGAGAGCTCTCCAGCCCGCTGGCCCTCCCAAAGGACGCTCCTGCGGTGACCCGTGCGTGGTGAGCAGACACCCGATTTACAGGGTTTGCGGGGAATTCTCATCACTCCCTCAAGTTGCTAAAATACTCCCTCAGAAACATTCAAGAGTTAAGGAAACTTACATGGCACCACAGAGAAAACCGGAAGCTTTCCGACCGGGCTTAGAGCCCCTTCCTCTCCTCTGGGCCCTGGGGGCTTCGCTCCGACGCTCACTCTTGCCTTCCAGACCCACCAGTGCACAGTTCATGCCTCCTCCAGGCACTGCCTCTGGCTGCCCACTCCCTGCACACACACTCCCCTCGGTTTCAGGGAAGCAGGAACTGCGAGCAAAGGAAGAGAGGGAGGAGAGGCAGAAAGGATGCTACTCACCGCCTCCCCTCCGGCCCCCAGCACCAGCAGGCAGAGGGGAAAGGGACCCCGGCATCAAGGCAGTCATTGCTGCGGTCCCGCATCCACTCCTCTGCCCTCTGCCCGAGCCCTGGGCCCCCGCCAAGCCCACTCTGCAGCAGTTCTGGAAGTTCTGAGTTGGAATCCCCGATGCATCGGCACCTCGGAGATGGGATCTGCAGCTCCTCACAGGCGACATCCTACATCAGGTCACAAAAGATTAACAGAGATGTCTGTGGACTCTGCAGAGATGTGATAGAACCCCCATCGCAAACCAAAACCGACCCCAGGAAAAAGTGTGCCTTCCTTCTTTCATTAACTCAAAAGAATTTACTGAGCACTAACTACATGCTGGGCAGAGGCCTTGCCCTCAAGGAGCTGTACAGACTAGAGGCAAGCATGTAAACAGGTAAGACCCCCTAGGGCCAGAGCTGTGAAGCTGGACAGATCAGGAATTTCAGCATGTCCGTCCATTGGGACAGCCTATGTAACGCAGAAATACTACACTCATGCATTTCTCTGTTTCTGAAAATAATGCATGAATAGGTCAGGAGAAAACTGGAGGGGATTAGAGAATAACCTATACAGGATCAGCCTTTGCTCATGAAGAACAAAAATTCTAGAGGTCTGGGATAACTGCAAGGCTATAAACAGGAAAATTTATATTTTAAGGATTCAACTTCCATTTTCAAATGAAAGTTTTTATTTCTTGCAATTTATTTTTGCATCTTTGGAGAATGCTTTGGACGAGGAGGTTCACTGTGGGCCAGGGCTATAAAGTAGACAGCAGACACGGAGGTAGGTGTAAGCCTCACCCACAGGAGCCAGAGACAGGGAGACCCAGCCGGTGGGAGGAGCAGGAGAGATACTGGAAAGATCTGCAAGCAAAGGAGTCTGGACCTGACTCTTCAGCGGACAGGAGGTGCTTAGGAAAGGACTGGTCCAGACAACAGCGTCTAAGACATGTTGAGCGGACACAGGAAGAGGCAGGAGGATGCACTTGAGTGAACTCTCAAAACTCTGACACCTATCTTTATGGGAGTAAGTGAATCCATGACCACGGTGCTGCTGAATACAGGCTTATGTGATCAAATTATCTCCCCATTCTGTGCCTCATTTGATTCATCTACAAAATGGGCGTATTAATGGTATCTACCACACACAGATATGAGGAGTAAGTACGTTGATACAGGGAAGGCATTTAGAGCTATGCCTGGTACATAGTATGTGCTCAATAAAATGTTAGCTTTTATTATCATTTATTTCTTTCTGGGGGTGGTGAGAGGTGGCAAATAATCCAGTACGCTCATATTAAACATAAAAGTATTCTCAGTGGTTTCTGTAAATCACATTTCACTTTGCCTGGAAAAAAAAAGGAGATGTAAATTTTTTCAAACCGACATGTACATACTTTAAAATATTGAGTTTATTTAAAAAATGAGCACAGTAAAAACTGCCACACAAATAATCAATAACAGACACTCCTATCAAGTGTACATATATAACTCCTCAAATAGAGGACCTTTAATTTCCCTTGAAGTCTTTTAAATTCTGAGTTTATATAAAATTAAGCAGGAAAACATTAACATTAAACAAAAATCAATTTTGCACAAATAAGTGTGATCAAGCAGTTTAAATTATCACCTGAAATTCTTGTACTTCAGAGAAAAATCCCAGATGACAACACTATATGTGCTATAAAAGGATTCACATTATTCTGTGGGGTATGTCTCACGTCACTCGTTCTCCACATTTCTTTCACCAAGCCCCAGGCAAAAAAGTGAGGGAAACTTTTTCGAGGCAGTGGCCTTATTTTATACACATTCCTTTTCTTTTTCTGAATCCAGAGTTTCTGAAAACACAGAGGCTTTTCTCTTGGTAAAATATGACTTATAAGACGTTCGAGGACCAAGCTATTGTGGTTCTTAAAGTTTCTTCCTTTCTTGGGGGAGACCCTGTGGTCTTCACGCTACCCAGATCTGTTTTCTCCTCCCACACAGGCTCCTTTTTGGTGTGGAAACATAGCAACTTGTGACCTCAGCAGAGAGGGGGGTGAGCTCTGTACCTCTGACCAGGCCCCAGAGAAGGCCGGCCTCTCCTGATGTCCTCAAACTTCCTCTGAATTCAGAGTTCTGTATATCAGAATATGTCAACCCACAGCGACAAAAGACTTGAGGAACTCAAAATGTGAAGAAGCACCTAGCAACTGAGAATTAGAGAAATGTGTGTTTATTGTTGTACACAGATAACTGCTGGGTTCCTATTTTAATGATGGAGCAGTTCTGGCAGCATAACTAAGTCCTGTGCTCGACACAAGTCTGTAACCCGGCAGGACAGGTGTCCTGGTAGGAAACTGTCAAAGAAGCAAACACGAGCCAGGTGATGGGACCAGAGAGTAATTGCACTTGTGCTGGCATCAAGGCCACCCACAGATCAACAGCAACTTGAATCCCTGTGTGAAGACTTATCTGTTATCTTTCAAAACGCTCTGATCACCAAACTGAGCCAGTGTAATGAACATGGTATTTCAATGGGAAAATTATACATTCAGCAAATATTATACTGTCATAATTGATTCACGTTTCCTGGGCACTGATAAATATAACACAGTCCATCCTAAACTACCAGAACCATTGCTCTGACAATGAGAAGATGCAAAGTGAGGATGGCCTCACTGTCACTTCCTTCCTTTCAGTGGGAAGCACCTTCTGGGCCTGGATGGACAGCTGAGGAAAAAGATTTCCTGTGGCTAGTAGAAAGGGTGGTGCCGCCCCCTCACCAGTGACACTGGGGGCCCTGCCTTGGAGAGCCTTTATGTAGCCGCCTCCAAGAATTCTGAGGTGAACACGGCTTCTGCATAATCTTCACACACATCCTGGAATTCAGCAGCCACGGCCCCCAGAGCTTCATCTACAAGCTCTTCTGCAAAGCTGGAAGACAAACAACACAGCTAAAGGTACATACAGCCAAGTATGGGAGCCATTCTGTTACTCAGCTGAGGAACTTACCAAGTCACTTCTAAGATTTAAATGGAAACTCAAGAGGCCAAGAATAGCCAAGATAATTTTAAAGAAGAAAAACAAGGTGAGAAGCCTGGCTTTCCTAGACAGCAAAATGGTGGTGCTGAGATCCCAAAGTCAGGCTAGAGGGAGGGGCCTGTAATACACACGGGGCGGACCTCACCCTTGAGATGGTTGAAACCAGAGGTGACTGGAAACTAACTAGCTGCAACCCAGCCCCAATCCAGATCTCCCTCCTACAGCCACCCAACTGCCTGACAGAGGAAAAGGGTGTGGGCCTTCTCTGTGGGGCGGGGGGCAGGAAATTCCAGGTTCCTCTCAACACACACATACACACACACCCATACACACACACACTTTCCCGCCTCCAAACTGTTTGAGAGTAAGTTGCAGACTTGATATCCCTCAGGTACTTCTGGGTACATTTCCTAAAAACAAGGACATTCTCTTAAATAACCCTGACACAATTATAAAAATCTTAACATTAACACGGATACAATACTATTATCTAATCTTACCTACAGACCTTTTTCAAATTTTTGCCAACTGTCCAAAAAATGTCCTTTAAAAGAAAACATTTTCTAGTCCAGGATTCAATGCAGGATCACATGCTGCATTCAGTGGCCACATCTCTTTAGTCAATTTTCATCTAGAATCGTTCTTCAATCTGTCTTTCATGACCTGAACATTTTTTGAAGAGTAAAGGCTATTTTTTTGTTGTTTTAGAACGTCCCTCAATTTGGGTTTGTCAGGTTCAGGTTCTACATTTTGGGGACAAATGTCCAGAAGGGATACTGTGTCCCTCAATACAGCTATTTGTCTTACTATGATGAGTGCTAATTTCTATCACACAGTTACGCTGATGTCTGCCAGGTTTCTCCCTTGTAAAGTCACTATTTTCCCTTTGTAATTAATACTTATATTGCAGGGAGATACTTTGAGACTATGTAAATATCCTGTTTCTCATCAAACTTGCTGAATCAATTATTCCAGGGTTGCCAACACTGATCTTCTAATTCTGTCATTCCCAACTACATGGAAGAGCTTTCCCTTCTCTATTACTTATTTATGTATTTATATTGGCTTGGTCTTACACATTCTTATTTTATTCAACAGTTTGTAATCTGTTTCTATTATTACTTATTTTGATACTCAAAGTGTCCCAGATTGGCCAGTAGGAGCCCCTTCAAGCCAGCTCCCAGGTCCTCTTGACACGTCCCCATCATTCTTTGAACACTTCCTTTCTGCCACAAGATGATGTTTCAGCCTCATCTTACATTTTCCCAGCCCCAGTCTTGGAATCGGCTATTTCTCCAAGGAGCCCTGGTACCTTTTCATGGAGAAGAGTATTTAGAAACCAAAATCTGGGTACTAAGTGTGCTCATTGCTACTAAGTGTGCCATCGCTTCTAGGCCCTCTCAGCAGATAGACTCGGACAGACAAACAGACACATAGACACACACCCCATGTCTATTTCTATATCTAACAAAAACCATAAATTCATAATACCTCCAATCCCACTTCTAAACAGGGGATTCATTCTAGCCTTCCCCCAGAAACCTGGCTCTCATTATTCACAATATACTTAGTTATTTGATCAACCCTAAAATATAGAGAAAGTAGTTTTAGAATTGTTAACCCACGCTGCTGGGTAAAAGAAACCTACTTATTAGAATCTGATATGTGTTTACAGTCTTTTTGTCTTTAGCCAGAAGGTACAGAGTCAAAATACTGCATTCAAAAGTAACTCAGGGGCTTCCCTGGTGGCGCAGTGGTTGAGAGTCCGCCTGCCGATGCAGGGGACACGGGTTCGTGCCCCGGTCCGGGAAAATCCCACATGCTGCGGAGCGGCTAGGCCCGTGAGCCATGGCCGCTGAGCCTGCGCGTCGGAGCCTGTGCTCTGTAACAGGAGAGGCCACAACAGTGAGAGGCCCGCATACCGCAAAAAAAACAAAACAAACAAACAAAAAAAAGTAACTCAGACAAGGCCTTATCTGTATGTATCCCTTTAGTATGGTTATTTCTTGGAAATACAGTTAGTGTCATATTTCTTTTTGTATTCCAATTTAGGGTCAACCTTCACTGCCCGCCCCCATCCTTGATGATTTGGAGGGATGTACAGGAAACATTAACAGTTCCAAAAGTCAGAATTATACAAAAGAGGTAAACGAAGATAAGTG